CTTGGCATCTTCAATTTACTGTCCATTGCTAAAGATTCTTTTCCAAATTCCAAAATTTGATTCCAATTCAAAAATTCAAAAAAAATCAACATTTATAGAACATGTGCTCTATGTCCTTCCTGCACTCAGAGCCATAAATAACTCCAAGGACAAGACTTGCTTCTTGCCCTAAATATGCATACAGTCCCATGGAGAACCTTTCATTTTGCCAACATGTTGCAATTCACATTCTCTTTAAATCCTTTCAGAACTGAGCTGACAAGGGATGCTTGGTAGTCTCTTAAGCATTTGGTAATAGCCAGTTGACTCCTATAGGACAACAAGGGGATTGAGACCTGAGGCCAAATCTTATTCATCATTATCATCCTGGTTAGCATAGCGTTTGGTATATAACAACAGGTTTAAAACTATCACCAAATGCGTGAAAGCATAAACAAATGAATGAAGAAATGAAACAAGTCAAGTCTTGGAATCAAGCTTTGGAATCGGGTCAGAGTCTCAGCAGGAATTCTCCTCTATCACTAAACAGATAAATGACTTAGTGACAAGTCCCTGTAGGGAAGAACCAGCCCATTTCACACACACAAACTGGCCAGACTTCAGCTAGCAGAGCATGGGGTCAGGGAAAAGAGGAGCAGGATAGGGTTTTCAGTGACTTTCAATTTTTCCATCACTGGACAGGTTCTCTCCTCTGTCCTCAGGTTTAGAGGGGAGACACGGGGGCAGTCACACCCATGGAAGAGTATTGATGGCTTCACCTGCTCACTGAGGCAAATCAGAGAGGTAGGCCAAAAGACAAAGAGGAAAATAGATCAAGATAGTGTTCACCACACATTTTCATTACCTAGTAGGAAAACCCTTCAGTGACATCTTACTTAAGATGTACATTGATAATCAGCGCCATGAATAAATATCTAACTGAAACAAAGATATTTGCTAGTTTCTATACCTTTCAAAATTAGAACAAAAATCTGAACAGAAACAGCTATCAAACAGCATCCTGCACACACACACACACACACACACACACACACACACACTCCTGAAATTTCCCCCTGCTGGCAACTTGTTAGTTATTTGAATAAACATTATTTCTGCCACATGCTTTAGCACCAAATAGTACCTTGTAGTCAGTTAAAAAACCTTTATCAAAGTTAGACTATGGTATTATTTTGACACCAGACAGTCCTTTGCTTTTGTGTAGAATCACAGTGTTGCCTGAACAGTGTACAATTACGCTTTTGTGCAGACAATCAGCAGGTCATTAGCGTACCGTACAAATCACCTTGGACTCAGGATGGAACCCTGGGGACCTGGAGCCGCAATAGACTGGAGAGAAGACATGGTGTTGCTGACAGTTACCTCTGATGGCAGTTAGAAAGGTATGATTGCAACCACATGACAGCTTAATACAACAGAGCTCTGAGCTGTTCACATGGCAAATTCTGATTAATGGTATCAGTAATCACAATGAATTTTTAACTTTTGGTGGAGCACTCCAATACATCCTGTTAGAATACAAGACTAACAAAGCCCTTTATGAAATTGCCATGTTTTATCATTCTTTTACTGCCTCTAGTTTTACATTTTGGTGAACATGATTATGACCCATAACATATTCTGATGGAGCAGGGACAGAGTCCTGCTGCACATTTGAAAGGCTCAAGAAGAAATTTTTGCATAAGAAAGTGAAAGTGAGATAACTGAAACTTGTTATGGGAATCAGAATTTGCTACTTTTGCACACGCACATATGTGCACATGCACAAACACACACACACACAGAATAAGGTCTATTTCACTATATCCACATCTGGCAATGATGTGGGCATAGTGAAAAGATTTCAGATTCCCTCCAGAAAGCCCTTAGGCTACAAGAAAAATCATCCTACATCTAATAAACCCATCTGAGATATATCTACCATATGGTAAAGTCTTGTTCTGCTTTATTCCAACAAATTGGTCCTTGGATTCTTCTCACAGCTGTTGCTGCTATTGTTTAAGTTGTATTGAGTCCTGGCAACGAGCAGGATGCTGTGTACAACAGTCAGGATCCCCACATCTCTGGCCTGTGTAAGTGTTAAATGGTATCACCTGTGATGAGGACTGAGCACCCAGGATATTTAAAAGCCTCACACATAAGAAGTGCTCAATAAATGGGGACCAAAAAAAAAGTTGTTTTAATTAGAATATTCTGGGAGTTCAATGTCAGGAGAAAAATGGGAGTGGGTTTCTAAATCCAATTACCACGCAGACAATAAGGATGCTAAAATAAGCAAACAATTAAATCACTTTTCCTCAGAATTTCCCCTTCACTATTCTCCCCCAGTTTGGTTTAGCTCAAGAAACACTGATATGTGCCCAGCCCTGTCCCAGCATGAGAGGCACAAAGATAAACGTGGCCACTTCCTGGCTATGAGCTGCTGCCCTTCTGCTGGGGAAATGAGACACCTAGGATTCTTTCCAAGCAGGGTCTTTTACCATTGCAGTAGCATTTAGAAAGTTTATTATACAAATCCATATCAGTAATATAATCCTGTGAAAGGAAAACATTTACTCTTCTTAATAGTTTTTTAACTTTATTGACATATAAATGACAAAGCAAAATTGTAAGATATTTACAGTATACATCATGGTGATTTGTATATTGTGAAAGGATCCCTGACCTAGTTAATTAACACATCCATCACTTCACATATTGATCTTCTTTTTTGGTGATAATTTATATGCTTAATTATACAATACAGTGTTATCAACTACCATCACCATGTTATACATTAGATCCTCAGATCTCACTAGTCTTACAGCTGGAAGTTTGTACTCTTTTTATTACCTTTCCGTATTCCCCGTACACTCATTATGATTAAAGTTAGTTGGCTTTATCATATTTTGGTGGCTTCCTATTTAATTTAAGTCTTCCATGAATAGAGGAGTCATCTTTTTATTTTGCTCTGATGCTACCGGAATTGTTGTGTGTTTTGAATATGCTGGTAAATAAATAAACAAACGAATAAATGTGAACTAAATTTATGCTTAATAAAAAATAAAGCCCATTCTAACAAGCTTATAGGTAATTCTTACCTTATATTTAAAATACACGTAGCTATCACCACACACACACACACACACACACACACACTCACACACACGCACACACACACATACAGTCCAATATCAAGAGATAATTTAATCCTCTTAGTCTATCTGGATATGTCATCTGCAGGCGTATAGCCAGACTTCCTTAACATGTTGAGTGGTTTAATATCATCGCTATTCTTGTGGAGGGTTTTCCCCCTCGGATTTTCCTTTACAATTTTATCAAATTTCAGCCAATTCCTTTCTGTAGTTTAAGTAAGACAGGAAGCCTTGCCAGCTCTGTATTAACTCAGGACCATTTCCTGTTAACTTGGGATTGAGGGGGTCACCGCCCCCCCTTCCTCCTCCTCTCCATCTTCCTTACTTTATTGCCTAGTTTCCCTCTGTTTTGTTTTGTTTGTTTTTTCCTGCTGTTCTTCTGAAAAGCTCCCTGGACCTATTTTCTAAGAAAGAAGAATACTAAAGAGAATGGAAGATAGGATGGGAAAGGTGAACAAAGATGAAAAAAGAAGAATTGTGAGGTTCTCTCAGTGTTTTAACCTCAGGTTCTATTTCTGTGGACAACCAGAAGTGGATGACCATTCTAGAAAGACTAAAAAGATCAAAAATGCTAGGAAGAGAGACAACGTCAAGAGATGCCAGAAGAGACTCTGCTAAAGGGAGGAACCATCTCAACTTTTTCCTTCTTCTTCTAATCTCTCTTTTCACAACTCACCTGCAGTGGCCTTTACACTCCTGGTGGGATGGAAACCCTTGGGAAGCCCAGAAGAAGTAGAAGGGACAAATGGCATAAAGTAAAATCCCACTTAGAAGCCAAAAACCAAAAACCAAAACAAAACCAAAAACACTTCCCCAGGGCCTCTAGATTCATTGCTCAAGTATTTTCCACTGCACCCCACCCACTCTCCCAGGCCACCCCACACCTGAACTTCTGGTTGAGCCAGAAGAGCACTTGGAAATTTGGGGGCAGGGCCAGAAGCCCAGCACAGCCTCAGGCAGTGGGCTCAGCCACCTCCTCTACGGCACTGGGAATGTACTGTCCCCAAAACACCCAACCCGTAAAAGTTAGATACAGAGAAGCAGCCAGCAATTTCAGAAGCAATTGGGGTTGGCACCAGCACTCACCCACCTTCCTGCTGGGCTCTAGTTGTGGCTATGAAACAGGGTGCAAGGGTGTCCCGGCCCTGCATCCTAACTTCCAGTTAAACCAGAAGCTGGACATTCAGGGGAGGAGCCAGGAATGTGGCCAACCAGGTGCAGGGACATTACTGCCACAGTTTCTATCATGGCCCACAACCAGAATCCAGGCCACACAGGTGTGTTTGTTGAACAGAAACATTATGAGATTCTGTTTAAAAAGAAAATCTTCTGTTCCAGACTCTGAACAATAATGGCTGTCATTTGTTGAGCGCTTGCTATGTATGGGCTATGTAATAGCCATGTAATAGATCTCCATGTAATAGATCATTTAATTCTAATAATCCTATGCAGTAGATACTATAATTATCTCTCCTTTCCATACTGGGAAACTAGAATTTAGAAGAGTAGAGAACTTGATTCAAGCCACTGAAGAGCCCGATCCAAGATTCCATGCCAGGTAGATTTGACTCCAACACCCACAGTTTTTTAAAATGTCCCATCATTTTCTTTTTCTCGTTATTTCTTTTTATTATTGAGCTATGGTTGACACAAAATGTTACATTAGTTTCAGGTATACAACATAGTGATTCCATAGTTCTGTATGTGATGCTGTACTCACCACAAGTATAATTACCATCTGTCACCATACAACGCAATTACATTACATTGACTATATTCCCTATGCTGTGCCTTTCATCCCCCTGACTTACTCATTCCATAACTGGAAGCCTGTGTCCCCACTACCCTTTGCCCATTTTGCCCATCTCCTACCTCCTCCCCTCTGACAAACACCAGTTTGTTCTCTGTATTTATGGGTCTGTTTCTGCTTTTGTTTGTTCATTTGCAAAACCCACATTTTTAATGATCAAGCGTAGGAAACCAAAATTCTACACCTTTGAGAGCACTCTTCCCTGGATGAGATTTTAAGTCATTTCGACCTTGTTTTGTTAGAGGGACAGAATTCAGTAGCCAGACAGCACATAGTTTTCCTCTATCTGACAATGTGCCTGAGGACAGAAGTAGATTCTAGAAATCAGATAAACAAGCATCAGAGATAATCCACTCACGAAGCAAAACTTGAGGGAATGTGTGGGTGGAAATGTGAATTCTAGGCTTAGTCTGGCTCAGAGTTGACTTGTGTCAAAGTTAAAGTATTTCTCTTGTCTTTCAGCAGCAGCTAATACAGGAAGATACACCCGCCATGAGCTTTAGTCGCAGCTCTACATAAATAGGTATCATGCTAATATCTGATATATTCAGGAGGTCCCTGAAGAGCAAGAACTTTACTCACTAATTCCTTAACTTTCCAAACCACATTTTTAGGAGAAATACTGACTGACCAACACCAAGGAGAAGCATAATAAAGTACTGGGAATATTCTGGAAACTTCCTGAAGAAACAGTAGATGCAATAAAGGAAGAAAAAGTCAACACTGCCTTTGTATCCAATGGCCCCTCGCTCTTAAAGTAAGAGAACCCGTATGATTTTACAGCAGTTTCAATAATAAATGTAATTGATAATTTAACATAATTATCAAATAAACATGTTGAGACAGTATTCCCCCATCCACAGAGGCCTTAAGAATCCTCATGATGTGATGACTTTGGGAGCATTAGGACTATTTATAAAATATTCTAGTCAGCCCAAACTACTATTATTACTTGTCCTCCCCGTACCTGTGAACTCCCAGGAGGCTCCTATTTGTATATTTATGATTACCAAGGGAGATCCCCGATCTGGCGAGGAAAGAAAGACAGCAAGACTCTTCCCCTCTCTCTCAAGGCCTCCCAACTCAATTGATGGGACTGCTCTGTCATAGTGAACTAGGATCTAACAGCAGGTATTCTCTTCCTCACCCCTTTCTATGCCACAGGCTCCTCCAAAGAAGGATGCCCTTCTAGAACAATTGTCACACAAAATGCAGAACTGGCACACCTCAGTTTCCATAAAAAAGTCAGAAGCCTAAGATCATATAAAAACAGCTTCAAGCCTACACAGTAAGCCAGCTCCCTATGCAATATAATTTGGAGCAAATCAAAAGATTCCAAGATATATACCCCTCAACTACTTTCATTCAGTCAGTCAACCATTATTTATTGAGCACCTGCTGTGCAGGGGTTTTTAGAAGATGGAAATACAATGGCCATAGGGTTGCCAGATTTAGCAAATAAAAATCTTGTATTTGATCTGGCAACTCTAAATGGCCAGCAAGAGACCATGCCTGCCCACAAGGACCTTACAATCTAGTGCCCTATGCATTCCCTAAGAATTTTTAAATCTATTAGCACCTTAGCAAAAGTGGATTTATCCAATTAGCCTCAAAGTGCAGAACTAAGTTTTGAAGGGAAGACTAAGGTCCAGGGCAAGGCAAGCATCAGTAGAATGTCACAGAGGAAGTAATAATGACTGACCCAAGACAATGCAATGGCTCTGTGCCTCTAGTTGGTGGCAGGGGTTAGGGGTAGGGTTGCCAAGTAAAGGGATCCAAATGAAGAAATTATTGCTGAGAACTCAGCTTGCTTCACCTGCATTCCAAATTAGTGACAAGTTAGCCAAAAATGTTGTCAAGGTTGGTAAACATCTCAATTAGACCTGAACAGAGCATCTAGTGGGATCTCATGCCAGCTTATGGTTTGGTGTGGAAACCATACAAAATGTGGTGGTTTTATAGGGTTTGAACCTGAAAGCAAGCAAAATGTGGTGGTTTGAGCTATGTTTTTCTTGGAGTATTTTAGGTACTCAGGCATAAAAATTCACAGTCAGGCTTGGGAGGTCCAATCTAAAACAATAAAAAGTTTTCACACTATCCTTTCAGCAACCACAAGGAACAGGCTTCCAAGAGAAGTTGTAGACTCTTGTTTGAATATCTTTTAAATATGGTTGATAGATGGACTATTTAGGCCATATTTATGTGACAAAAATTGATTCTGATATTGAGAGGGAAGAAAAAGGCTGTCTTTTCCTGGACCAATATTATCTACATAGGAAAAAGAAAGCAAGGGATTATTATGCATGTCATTTTGTTAATCATAAAACTAGTAAAAGATTAGTTCCATTGGCAGAAATATCTTGCTGTGAGCAACTCCATAGCATGAGTCTAAAGTGAGAGAGAGAAGAGTAAAATAATCCATTTTGTTTTACATGTCAGTTATTAAAGCCGCTTCAAAGCCTTCATGGAAAGATGTGGGGCACATATAAATGGTAAGTGCCACAAAAGAGGTGGCAGAAATGCAAAGATCCATTTGCACAGCAAACTTTACCACTTCCCTGACTAGTTATCTACAGTTTCCTAATCTTAGGATCCCATACTCTGTATTGTCTTATGCCAGTTGCAAAATACAAATTCCTGTTTCTCCATTCCTTTCCTTTCTTTGACCTCCTTTGTCTGAGCCAGGAAATGAAATGCCTCATGGGAACATGTAAGTGCAGGGTTAGAGCTGTACTAGGTTTTGAGTAATGTTGACTCTGTGATGGCAGAGGAGTGCCCTGCCTGAGTCCAAGAAAATAGACCACATGACCTTTCCCAAGATTTTCTTGCAGCTTCTGTGAGACTCATTCATTCGACCTGCAATCAAATTAAAATATTTACTTCGTTCTTTAGTTTGAAGAGCATAGTATTTCTTCATCATCAATGGAAATTCTATTGTTCTCACAATGAAATGAATTTATTTTTAAATTTTGTATTGCTTCATTTTATTTTCAAGGGGGAGAGAGAAAAATTATAAAATCAATTATGGTTTACATGAACAGAACAGTAGGAATCATCATTATTATCACACAACTCATATATTTATTAAGTTGTTCCAGGAAAATCTAGTTAATTTAGACCTGAGCCTTTGAAACATTTGATAATTCCAAGATGGGGAATTGACTGAACTTTTCCTTTGGTGGAAGTGAGAGAGTTAATAAATCTAATTAAGTGAGCTTTGCAGGGGGTGATTAATCTTAAGAAAACAAACTGCTTTCAAACACTCCAGTAATAACTGTTTCTGACAATTAATGAAACGATTACAAAGAATCCTGGCCTACTCATTAAAGCAGACCCAAGTTATAAGGTCTTGGCTACAGAATATTGGTCCCTGGATTATGTAAATATTTCCTAATATATTTTTTAATGTTTGTTTATGTATTTTGAGAGAGAGAGAGAGAGAAAAAGAGAGCACATAGGCAAGGGGGGGTGGTGTACAGAGAGACAGGGAGAGAATCCCAGGCATGCTCCATGCTGTCAGGTCAGAGCCTGACATTGGACTCGATCTCACAAACTGTGAGATCATGAACTGAGCAAATATTTTCTATATGGTAGGTTACACACAGTATTCTCTAATTCTGACATATTATGGTGTATAATGACCTTCCCTCAAATTAGCCTGCTGTAATGAAGGTTTCTCTGTATTTCTGTTCTAGAGTTGTATGAACCCAAGATGTCAGTCAAATAAGCCTAAATGGTCTTTTGAAGATACTTATGATCCATGCAATCTCTGTTAATGACTTTTACATATACATATGTCCCTTAAACCAATGGCACAATTGGATTAATTGGAAGCCAGTTGTCCAGCACATTGTGATAGTTGAAACTTAACTATGAACACTCATGTAGATAATCATGTAGATAATCTAAATCACTATCCAAGGAATATACAAAAGCCATACATTGAATAGTATGGTCAAATGTCTAAGGATTTCACAGGTAAACCCAACTTGTTCATGAGCTCTTCAATTAAATTGAGAAGCTAGCTGAAGATATTTTGTCTTGAAAACACCAACAATTCATTACAGAGCCCACAACCAAAACTCTTCATAATGTTACTTATGGGAACGATAGGTCTCTTTGAGTACTCTCCTTGAGGCACACTAAGTAAACTAAATGTAGAAGAATCCGTCTAACTACAACTTAGTTATAAATGCAAACAAAACAGAAAGATTGAGTATTCATCCAACATACATATATTAAGTATTTACTATCCATCAGGTTCAGTTATAAGCGCTGAAAACGGAAGATAAATATTACATGGCACTTACACCACAGCTTATTGTCTACTTAGGGAGACACAGGTTAATAAAGCAACAATGACAAAAAAACCCCACAAAACTACAAATACTATAAAAGAAATAAGCAGTGGGTGCTATGTAGTCATAAAGACAGACACCTAATTTCAAGCATCAGAGAAGACTTTTGGAGGGTTATTACTTGAGCAAAGCTGGAGAGCTGAGAACATAGCCTCGTGCACAATGAGCCAGGGAGGGCTTTCTAGAATAAGGGAATAGCAGAAGGAGATGCAGAAGGAGAAACCAAAAGGCCTTGTTAAGCATTATATTAATGTTAATGGTAAGCATTAGCTAGTACTTTTCACAAAGCACCTTACTAAGGATTTTACAGTCATTTATCTCATTTAATTCCACCATTACCAAATAAGTCAGTTCTATTGTCATTCCAGTTGTACAAAAAGAAAAGTGAGGATTCAGAGAAGAAATATAATTTGCTCAAGATTATGTAGCAGTTTGACTCGAGAACCCAAGATCCTCACCTCTAAGCTCTAAGCCTCCACAGGAATGCCCCAAACCCCAAATGGAGTTTGTCTTTGCTTTATAGGCAATAGGAGACCTCTAAAAATCTTAGGTGAATATACTTAAAGTAATCTTTTTTTTTTTAAATCCTATAGTCCAATACCTTGATTGCTTTCTGGTTAAATCTGACTTCCAACTTGAGAAAAAGAACAGTGACTTAAGAAGTCCCTTTGTGCATGTGAATCATAACCCCTGGAATTAGGACAGAGGTAAGAGTAATACTATTTCCAACAAGCAGAGATGGGAACTGCTGTCGGTCACTCTGATATGCTGTGTAGAAACCAACTTGGGCTGTCATGCCATGCATACATGGTAGAATACTTCATTTATAACTACTCTCATGGAGGTAGGGTCAGATTGCTAAATCTGAATAATTTAAATTCAGAGTACTTCTTCAGTATTCTTTCTTTATAATTGAAGGTTTTTAAAGGGCAAGATTTGCTTAGAACCATGGTTAAAATAGTAGAGTAAAACTACAGTGATCTAAAATGATCTAATTTTCTAGAAAATTACTACTTTCTACAAGCTGCATAAACTTTAATTAAAAAGACAAGGAAGCCTATTCTCTCCTCTCCTTACACACATATGACATACTAGGCCCTTGGGATTCTGGTGAAAGGAAAAGAGCAGATTGAAGACATTAGAATTTTTAGCAAAACTAAAGCTAATTAAGATGTAATGCTTATTTCCATCATTAAGGACCAACAAGTATCAAACATTGTTGCTTTTCTAGAGAGAAAATATGTTTTACTTGAAAATATGTGTGAAGTTAGTTTATAAAATAAACTGTAGAGGCAGGTTAAGTCACAAGTAACAACACACAAATCACCTCATAGGAACATGACAATAACGTTCTGCAGTTAAATATCACCAAGATGAGGATTCCTAAGAGGCTTAACACTGTGCTTTATGTATCTATATCCGATAAAATATCCCCAGCATCCTATTAAAAATATTTTGGTAGTTTCCACTACAAATTCTCCAGAAGCTGATCTTACCGGTAGCATATTTAAAGGAATGGATCAAGGAAAAGGGAGGCCACTAAGGTGAGAACAGACACTGAGTTTGAAAATAACCTCAGCAATTCACAGGATAGGATCTATGGCCACAAAAGGTTTCTCAGCCTAAGTAATCACTCAGGGTTTTTTGTTTTTGTTTTTGTTTTTTTTTCCTTCACCTGCTTTCTCTCTTTGCTTTCTTCCTTCCTGATCGCTCTCTTTCCATGGTAGTCCACCTTCCAAGCTGTTCCCAAACTGATTGTCTAAAATCACCTTAAAAGGACATATTTGATGCAAAGCAGCTTAGTGCACTCTGTCCTATGTGTAGAAGAAGCATTTGGGTAGCCTCCGTGTCAGTGTGAATTGGGCTGCCATGGAGGCTGGCCCACCGAGATTAAATGAAAATCAACTCTAATAGGGATGATGTAAAACAGAATAGCATTTTTTAAAAACACATTCAGATATCTGCAGGTATTCCTCCCATTCAACAAGTTCTGAAAAAAGCTGGACAGCAGCTACAGCTTCATAAGCAGCTTCTTGCTATATGATGTTGATGCGCTGACAAAAAATTGAGAAATGAGGGGAAGGATGTGCACACAGCACAAGTGTTTATGATTATGTACACATCACTCGTGTTGAGTACGTAGCTCAGCTATACTAACTATACTAACTGATTAACTGTATTTATATATATGGGAGGTGGTTTGAAAAGCACTAGAATGTGTGTGTGCATATGCAAGCAGAGTGAAATACTGTATTGTGTGTATAAATATCAGGTAGTATAAAATAAAATACCCTATAGTTGTTTGTTTAGGGACACATTTGGATTGAGTGAGCACTATAACAATCATTTCTTTCAAAGCCACCAAAACATCATACTTTTTTAGTTTTAATAAAGTCTAGTTTTTGGCAGTTCTTTTATCACATCTGTCATCCCCTAAGCTTTGCTTAGCCAAAGCACTCAGACTCAAATTTTGAAATTGTCAATATAGTCCTTCTAATATTTAAGTCTTAAATTATCTAAGCAGATTAACTACTCTTATTCTATGCCTACAGGATGCAGGGGTAAAGAAAGGCAGAGGAAATAATAACTTTTTTTCAGGCGATTAAGTTCCTGTGGAGGTTGTGTTTGGGGCATGCATTTGGAAAGTGGTCCAATGTATTTATGTAGATAACCAGGTAGACAAGAGGAGTACATACACTCCAGTATCTAGATCTGTAAGACAAAAAAAAATGGCTCCATCTAAGATGCTTAATCCTTGAGCTTTTAAATAAAAAGTTATAGTTCACACTGACACTTTCCAGTTTGCCAACTAGCAGTGGATGTCCTGAAGCCAAGAAAGATATCTTATAGAAACACACACACACAAAGGAAAGAAAAAAGAAAGAGAGAGAGAAAGGGGAGGGGGCTCCTTTTCACAGCAGTGCCTATCTGTGTGGTGACCTCATTTTTGCTACGATCTCCCTTTGGAGATCAAAGCAGGATTAATGTGATTCTTTACTGTTTGCCCTGCACATCTCAGAGCTCTGGAGACTTCGGAAATAAGTGGAGATGCAGCCCTGGAACACAAGGGAAACAGAATAGGAATGTGGTGGGTGAACAGTCCAAAGGATAACGATGAAAAGTTATTTGGGATTTGGGAAGCAATGCAGAATTTAAAGTCCTTTGCATTTTTAAACACCTCTGCTTTCTCTTTTCTCATTTTCTGGGGCAAGGCTTTTGGCTAATTGATGAGGCCAGCACTAAATGTCATATTAATAAGTCTCCACAATGACCTTCTAGCTCATTGGGAATGTTTTGCAGCTGCTAGTACACATAATAAGAGAATGGCACCCTGCATGTTTTCACACTAAAGCCCTTTCGCGTTACAACCAGGCATTTATGCAGAGGATTTAAAAGAAGGGAAAATCTTCCAAAATATCAAAATGAGCTTTTGTATTTCCACCGCGTGTCACATTCCTGGATGCCGGAACCCCTAAAGAGTGTTTCTGCAGCCTTTCAGAGGTGCTCGTTGTTTTCTTGAGAAAAAAAGGCAAGTCTTATATTCCTGGGATCTCCGAAGGTGAAGGAAAAATCACTCTCGTTTTTAATGCTTAATGTATACACCTCTTGGAGGGGTAGAGAGAGCCCCCCTCTGCCAAACCTGACTGTGATTTCAGCTGCATTACCTAGAAGAGGGCGCTGCAGTTTTTAGGGACTCGGTACAGCAGGGGAGAACCGGATTGCGGGGGTAGGGGCGGAGGTTCTCTCAGTCAGGGATGTGACCCCACGGTCTCCACTCTTGGTTTACGTAATTCCACCCCAAACTCACCTTCTCCGCAACTCTGCACGCCTAGCCACACAAAGACACTCGCACAACAAGAAGTCCCCAACTCCAACAGCCCATTCACTACTAAGCTAAGCCCTGGTTTTTCCTGCGAGCACCTTCGTCTTGTTCGCGCTTCCAAGTTCCTTTAGGTTAGTGCTCGAAGACCATTTTTTCCCCCTTCCACCAAGTCTTTCCAAACCCAGCTGGAGGCTACGTGGCCAAAGCCCAAGAAGTGGCGCAAGAAGAAGACACCTCATGACACGCTGGGGATAAAGGTCTAGATAGGACCCAAAGGCGGGGACCCAGGGGCCTTCCCACGCGTATCCCCGCCCTGACACCCATGGAGGTTCCACCTCCTTTTGCGTAACGTCCAATACGCCTGTCCCCTGCGGAGCGGCGGGGAGCTTGGAGTCAGGCTGTCTCCAGGGCCAGGAGTGCGAGGCCAGGGGTCTCCTCTGCTGCAGTCCTCGCAACCCCGCCCGAGAGCTCAAACTTTCGCTTCTGCGTCCTGGCGGCGCCGGACTCCCGCTGCCTGCCCCGAGCTCCCACCTGGAGAGGGAATTCAACCAGGAACCCGGTGAATTGCCTCAACTGGATAAGCAGCCCGCTGGTGAAGCTTTTTGTCCGGAATACAATTCCCAGGGCCAAGATGAGGGAGGAGGAATCTCTCTCAGTGCCTAAACACGCTACGCTCACCTCCAGTTGTTTTAATCACAACAAACACTAGCAAACTGGACTGTCCTTGCTTTATTTAGCTACAGCTGGCGGGGTTGATAATTGTTTTCTCATTATCATGCTAATTTGTTAACAAGGAAATTTTCCGTTGAACAGGGATTATTCCGGAGTCGGTAACTAGGAATCTTGGCTGGCTGAGGGACTCAGCCCGAAAATTCTGTTGGAAAAGCTCCCAACATCAGTATCAGCCCACCCACCTTCCCCCTCTCATTCCCTATTTTTACACTATTATTCTTTCTGCAGCCCTGGTTTGCACAGCGGTGGCCTATCACTCGGAAACCATCCTGTAGCTAAAAAGGATAGTAGTTAGAGACCCACAATTCATTTTAAAAATGTTAAGTTTTAAAATATTGCAGGGTGTTTTTTCCCAAAGTTTAAAGGACCACCTGAAAACTCAAGTACAATTAGTCGCTGTATTTTAAAAATTTTTTTCAACGTTTTATTTATTTTTGGGACAGAGAGAGACAGAGCATGAACGGGGGAGGGGCAAGAGAGAGAGGGAGACACAGAATCGGAAGCAGGCTCCAGGCTCTGAGCCATCAGCCCAGAGCCTGACGCGGGGCTCGAACTCACGGACCGCGAGATCGTGACCTGGCTGAAGTCGGACGCTTAACCGACTGCGCCACCCAGGCGCCCCAGTCGCTGTATTTTAAAGGACTTTATATTGCTGAAAAATTTCTAACCGTCGGTGTCTGACTTTGCAAAATATAGGAGTTAGAATTTAGTAAAAGTTACTTACTAAAGCGCAGTGGGAGCCCTGTAAGTTTTACAGTTTCTGCCAAGACATTGCTAATATGTATGTATGTATTCTCATGGGTTGTATTTTTTTAAGCTCTCATTTTTAAAACTTCATGTTTTGGGCATGATTCCTTAAGTTCCTATTAATATGTGATCTTTTTAATCCAGCAGAAAATCGAAATTCTAAGGAAGGGAAGTGCAGGTTTCAGCCTCTCTTCACATCGTTACAAGTAAGGTTTACCAACTCTTTTGACTTGTATTTGCTAACTTAGAAAACTTTAAAGGTAAATTTGGAAAATTAACTTGAAAGAAGCACATAACAAAGCGTGACTTTCATCAGTTTTTTTTTTTTTTTTTGGAGGGAAGGGTGTTTAAATCAGTTAAGACCCACAGAGTAATAAAATTACATAGCATTCTGAAATATATAATATGGGGAGGGCTTTAAAAAATAATCCCATCTAACATTCCTTGCATATACACAACTAGCAAGAAGTCCACAACTACCAACAGCCAGCATTGCTTGCAAATTGTATTCGATTGAAACTCTGCTGAAGAGTTGATCTTTCATTGTATTTTGGAATTGTGTGAAGGTATGTATGTACGGGATCTATGTATGTATAGTTCTTATACTTTATATATGTTTAGACATGCATCCCTTTTAAATGTTTACGTGGTTAGTCACTTTAAGAACAGCAAAATAAATTATACGTTAGCTCACACTATCTCCCAGGTATTCCTAAACACTGATGAACAAAAATCTTTATATCGGAAATGAAGAGTACCCATTTAAAGGAAAGAATGGAAAGGGGAACTCGATTTATTCTCATTTGTTTATCGCTAGACGTTCCCCCCACCTCTCCACAAATTCATTTGAATAGCTTTCAAGCCGGAAAATGGAAATGTGGCTCCTGCCCTCTATTTCAGCGGCAGCAGCAGCGTCCTGGCAACAGCGCAATTTTCTATCATCAAGGATAAATGGCATCGAACAGAACATTCTGATAAAAAAAAAAAAAAAAGAAAAGAAAGAAAGAAAGAAAGAAAGAAAAAAAAGCTTCAGCCCAAGGAGCCCATGATTGCTGGCCTTCCTGTCTGTCATCCCTTTACAAAATCCTCTCCGCAAACCTGAGCGGCATGCTGTCAGAGCTAATAACGTCTTCTGGGGGGGGGGGGGGGGGGGGGGGGAGCATAGTCTTCCCTGCACAATGTTCCCATTTATTAAATCGAGTGCTTATTTTAAAATTGCAAATATCTTTGTTTGGTTCACGGCAAATTAAAACCAAGATGCAGGAAGTTACATGATGCAACAACTATTCGTGTCATATCAAAGAATCAAGCCGCTATCTCGCCCTTCTTTGGGCTAAGGTCGGTTGAGGGGGAAGGGGAAATCTGGGGGAATCGAGGGTAAGAGGTTTTTCGGAGGAAAAATACAAGTCTGCTCTCCCTGCAGGTAAGCTGAGAGTAATTGAAAGCCAGAGGAACGATGTCCGTTCCTACCGGGGAGAATGAGCTCACTGCGATTCCGGGAGCGCGTGTGGGCGCGGTCCTCCGCGCGACGCCGCACGCGGGTCTGCCAGAGCTCAGCGCCCAGACTCGGAGCTTTCCCGCGGGAGGCTTAGGGCGTAATGGTGGCTATTTGTCGCCCACTGAGATCCCTTTCCAGAAAAGGCCATTCTGCTCCAAGGAGATGGATCTCTGGGGTCTCCGTGCCCTCACTGGGGGTCTTGGAGAGGTTTAGAGGACATCCTTGCAGGCGTTCCCTGAGTCAGGCGCTTCTCCTGAGAGGTGGGGGCTGGAAGCCGCGGAGCAGCCGCCCACCCACGCAGGCGGGCTTGCAGGTGCTGGCCTTGGGCTTCTTAGCGGCCGGGGCTCGTGCCTGGGAGTGCGCCGTCCGGCTTGACTGGTGACCGGCTCTACTGCCCATAGAGTTCTTGGTCCATCCAACGCTCCTGCACTTTGGACAGAAATCCACATGGCCGGCGTGGGGGGGGGGGGGGCGGAGGTGGAGATGGCAGAAGCCCCAAAGAGAATGGGGAGCAGCGATGCTGGTACTCTTCCCGTCGCACCAACCTCTGGGGATTTTTTTCTCTTAATTGAGGAGAGATGAGGGAGGGGACCTAAAATGAAGAGAGAATCAGATCTTAATATCCTTTAAAGTTGGCCCAAAGAAAGGGAATAATGGAGAGGCATGTAAAGGACCCCAAAATTCGGGGAGACCCTAACAAATAGAAGCCGTGGACCGAAGTCTGTATATGAGAGAGTGGGGCGTGCGGGGGGACGGGTAATCAGCTTGGTTTGCAAGGAGCTCCGGCGGCTGAGAACGGTGGGAGGAGGGGAATGATGGGGAGACCTTTGTTTAATGAGGAAACCTAATTATTGCGCATCTGGAAGTCTTGGTCCCAACTAAGAGACGGAGGCGGGTACCCCCGCCCCCACACCCGAGATGCAGTGCGCATGCCCAGCCTTCGGATTTGCATGATAAGGCTCACACGTGAGTCAGCTGTGGCTGTGCCTGGGCCCGCTGTGGCAACCAATAGAATCCCGATCTCCACTGCGCCTCCGGGTCACATTGACAACTCGGTTTCCCCCCACAATAGGCCTTTAAAACCCATTTTAAAAATAAAAAAGAGTACTTTAGTATCGATTCTCGCCTTCGCACGCTAGATTTCTGTGGGAAATAGACACATTTTAGAACTACAAATACATTTACTACAAGCAAGGGTTAAAGTATTCAGAATTTAAGAGAAAGTTATTAGACTGGAGAAAGGAGTCTGTTCAAAGAACACTGGCGGGAAATCAAGAAATCCTGGGACTGCTGCCTTCAGAACCCTCAGACTTGCCCGAAGTTGAATCTCTAGAGCCTTGTCTGTCACATGAAAATCCCACCTACCTCATTGACCACATGAGCCCCAGAAGCAGAAACATTACCGTGTACAAGCGAGCCTGTCTTGGGAAACCAACCCCAAACCCAACGCTTTCTCCATTCGCATCACCAGCCCCCACGGTTGCCTGGGAGATGGGAAGCTAGAACACCTGCATTTCATCCTTCTCCCTTTCCCAGACACCAAAGTGGTCTATGTACTGAGGTCCATGTGTTAGCTCCCACATCTGTGAAATGGGGCTAATTAAAGAAGGGCAGAGGGAACTAGAAAGGTAAAGAAATGACATAAATCTCCTGCCTGTCTGGGCCTCTCTCACCTCCACCCAAGCTCTGAAGCTGGAAACTATGAGGTTGATTCTCTGGGGCTGCAGAAGGGGTGGGCCAGATGGGAAATATTACCTATCCTGCCCCTTCTGCACACTAACACTGCTGCCTGCCCTCTGCAGCACCCTGACGGTTACCAACCACCCTGTACTCTTCCCACCATATAGCCATGCCAGAATTACTGCCCACAAATGGGCCTCCAACAGTCCTGAGGGCGCGCCCGTCTGTGACAGGAAAACTGCCTGTTCATATCACTGAAATAAAACAGGTGGGGATTATTATGTGCAGTTCCTCTCCCCTTTTGTGTAATTCACAAGTCTCCAACATAGGATTAGGCTTCAAATGCATTTGGTCAGGTACACACTTTTTAGCGCTCAGCTCAAACAATGTTAAAACCATTCCAGCAGTGCCTCTGTTTGTCTCTAAGGTCTTTCTTTCTCACCCTCCAGGCCTACAATTATAACTTTTTTTTTTTTTTTTGGAGCATATGAACGACAGTCGCGCCCCAACCGTCCAAAATGCAAGGCGCTAAAAAGTGGACTTCAGGGGCACCTGGGTGGCGCAGTCGGTTAAGCGTCCGACTTCAGCCAGGTCACGATCTCGCGCTCCGTGAGTTCGAGCCCCGCGTCAGGCTCTGGGCGGATGGCTCAGAGCCTGGAGCCTGTTTCCGATTCTGTGTCTCCCTCTCTCTCTGCCCCTCCCCCGTTCATGCTCTGTCTCTGTCTGTCCCAAAAATAAATAAATGTTGGGGAAAAAAATTAAAAAAAAAAAAGAGTGGACTTCAAGGTCTTACTTGTTAATCTAAGATCAATATTATTTGACCAATAAGTATTAAAATGACATACTGTTAAGCATTTAGCTGCCAACATCCATGTCTGTTTTCTAAGGAGATACTCACTTGGTAGTCTCTGTAGAGAGAGAGAGAGAAAAAAAAAGCTTTATCGTGATTGTGTTTGGAATTGCCTTTGCAAAAATTAAGCTTTCTCTTAAATTGGCTCAGTAAAATCAAGAGGTTTCAAGATGAGATAGCCACGTTGTTTTAAATCCTTCTTGACCATTAGACTTTAGGATTTTTCTTATAACTGACTTGTCTTTGTGCTTTATGGAAAATAAGGGTGTATTTGAAAGGAAATACAGACTTAAAAGAAAGTCCATCAGCCAATCAATAATTGCACTGTCCCCAGTTGAGGCAAAATCCTCCTTCCCTGTGTTGGGAGTGGCTGCCATATGAAGTTTACCTTTTTGACCATGTGGAGTAAAATTGAACCAACATACGTCTCATTCATATCCCAGCTTCCTTCTTGAGGCAGGTTTCAGAGCAGTCAGGGGTCTAACTTTAATGACAACTCACTGTCACCTCTAAGAGAAGGAAAGACCAGCAGGCTGGAAGTGAGGAAGGGAACACTGAGGTGTAGACTGAGGACAGTGACCTGGAACCCAGTGAGGCCACAGCTTCAGTGTCTGGAATTGCAGTTTACAGGCAACCTCAGCTCCAACCCAAACTATCTTGCAGTCACTTTGTCTCCCATCAGTGTGGACCTTAGGATACCTACTAGCTCCTGCCCATCCCAACAGGCATGACTGGCCATTAGCACCTTGTGCTATCAGGGCTTCTTAGTAAACCAGCTGAGCTGGGAGCAGATCCTTCCCATGTGGGGTTGTACTGCTCTTATTTGAGTTGAGACTGGTCAATTTAAAGGGAAACAGCAAAATGGAGGGGAGGGGGGAAGATTATAAGAATGCAACTGACACTGTGAAGGCTTCTGGAACCAATGCTGCCTCCTCCTAGAGGACTCTGAGGATGGTGCCCACAAATCAGGTGGAGCAGGACAAACTTCCCCTTCACGTTTTGGGTCATCAGGAATGAAGATTTGGGGTGGGGGATAGGGGATTCCCTTTTCTCTAGCAGGTCAATCAGGGAACAATAAGGAGGCGAGGGGGCTTGGCACTCTCTCCCACCCGGACGACTTCTTCTTGAGGCGCCTAGACTGCAGGTCTGCCCCCTACCTACTCTCCGGATTAGTCTCCGGTGTCTGGGACCACTCCCACCTCACAACCTCCCCCTCCCCCCATCCCGTGGGAGTTATTCTGAGGACACTAAAGGTGCTCGAGGAACTTTCCTCTATCTCTTCAAGACCAGGCAGCTAAGCCTAGCCAGTCAGCCTGGGGGGCTCTGGACGAAGCGCAGGACCCTTTGGGAGTCCTTCGGCCCTTGGGCAGATAGCGAGCAGATAGAGCACGCATTGCCCTGGCTAGCGTTTTCAAACAACACGGACTACAGGCTGCATCTTGAATATGAATTAGCCTTCTGCGCTGGTGTGAATTCGCTTTGAAACTCAACTTGTCAGAGTATGGTTTTAATTAAACGTCTTCGGCCCGAAAGATTATATGTTTTGTAAAGTATATCCTAGCATGAAATTTACTTCCACAATCTGAAATTAGATTTCTTGTAAATGTTTTCATAAAAAAGAAATAGGAAGGGGGTGTGTGTGAGAATGGAGTAGTTCATACTCGCCGCGTTCTTTTAAAACGTCCTGCCAAGCCGGCCGGGCGCCCGACGGGTCCCGGGTCGGCCCGCCAGCCCGGGCCGGCACATGGTAGCGACAGCGCGCCCAGGACGCGCGGAGTAACCCGAACCCGCCCGGGCAGGCGCGGCCGGCGCAGTGTTTGCAGTTGCAGACAATTCAGCAGACAGACAAGTTAATCCCGCACTGATTTGTTTTGGATCCATCTGTAGGACGCCAGATACCCCGTTCGGCTGCTGCTACAGACACCTGCCTCTCTCCCCACCCGGCACCGCTGTGCCTATCCCAGGAAAAACAGAGAAGAGGAGTTGGGTACAGGACGACCTCTACACCATTCAAGACCACACTTCAGTCTCGAAATTTAAAGTTCGCCTTTAAGAATTCCTGGCTAATATTTAGAACAACAGCAATGTTGATCGGACAGCTTCTCACAGACTGTCTAGAACTGCTCCAAACCAACCTCAAAGCTTCTCTAGACGGGGAAGGACCCTTATCGGGTTCTCTATCACCTACCTGGGGGCATCTATCACCGGGGTAGCCCTCAGAGAAAAAGGGCCCTATTTCCCAGCATGGGGGCAGGGAAGGTGCCTGCACACGCCGCGTCTTTCTATTCAATACCGAATTAAGAGCTGGGTCCCGGTGGAATTCTCTTTTACTAACTACTCTCCGAGGAACCCGCCAATTCTGGCGGGGTTTGCTGGATTCTAGTAAAACTCGGCTCACATGGGGTGGGATGTGATGGGGAGGAGGAGGGAGGGAAGCGCATCTCCTTTCTTCTAGATAATTGGGACCCAAGAAACGAGAAGGGGGTGGCGCAGTAGGGAGAGTTACTTACCGCCCTCCACCTGAAATAAGCAAGACCAATAACGCGCCTCGCTTTTCGCCCTGTTTACTCCATCCCCATTCAGTGATTGGCAAAGCAGGCCCTGAAGGCAGAGGCAATAATTGCTCCGCGCTCTCCTTACTAGGGATGTGTGTAGGCATTTGAAGTGTACTAAAAATAAACGAAGGAGCGAGAAAATGAAAAGGGGACAGAGTGACAATTTGTGGCAATTAAAGCGTCTGCACATGTTGCCGGAGGAGCAGGGACCCACAGCGGTTTTTGTTTTCTCAGGCCTGATGATGGGACTGACTCGTTAGGGAGTTTTCGTCCCAGGGTGTGTGGGTGTGTGTGCGCGCGCGCGTGCACACACGCTGAAAAGTCCGTGGGGGGAGGAGGAAGCTGGGACCATTTCTGCTCCCCTGAAAACACAGTTTTTCTCCGGGGAAGTGCCGGGTCAAGCTCCCTTAACCGCTCACCCCCTCCCTACCTCCACCCCCGCACTCCAGCGGGTCTCAAGTGAGAGCCTCTAGGTTCGCACTCAGCCGGCCACCTCTTCCAGGAACTTTGGAGCAAGTTTTCAGCTCCAAAGTGTCTAACCTTAAAGGGGAAACCTTAAGAATGACAATAACGTTTATCTCACAACCACCGAGACGCAAGGATGAGGGGTGGGAAGGGAGAAAAAGGGGGGCGCCCAGCCAAATCAAAGCTTGGGAGACATTTTGACAGCGCGCTTGAAATATTACTCTTAATTTTTGGAAGACTTTCAAGAAGTGAAAGGGGGATGGGTGGGGGTGAGTGGAAAGAACCACAACTTTCTCCCGTCACTCCAGCATCCAAACAGGGAGGGCTCCAACCTCTGCCAGCGCGGGAACACACAGTGGGAAATTGCTTCAAGATACAGCAGAACTCTCTTCTTTCGCGGGACCCTACCTGAGCCTCGAACTTCGCGAAACGGCGGGTAGAAGGCGTCATGGGTGTCAAAAGTCTGCATAATCTCAAAACTGGCCATCAGAAGGGTGACCGCAGGCCCTGCGTTCCTCCTGGGCCTGGCTCGGGCCTCCCAGAATCGCACCCAAACTGGCGCTCCGTGTTGATCAAGCCCCCACCCCCACCTCCCCCCATCCCATCCCTGTCTAGGACCACGGAAGGGGGAGGGGGCGACACTGTGCAGCCACCGCCGAAGTCCAGCTCGGGCTGGCTTCAATGAAAGCTGGCAAATCCAGCGAGTCTCGCAGAAATTTTCTTCGATCCTAATTCAATTTTAAAGCGGATTTTTACTATTAAAAACGCTGCCGAGCAACACATTGAATTAATCTGACTGTACGGTTTTAATTACAGTGAGGGTTTCTCTACAAATCTGTACAAGACAGTGGCTGGCTCTTGGAGGATCTCTGCCTCCTGAATTCCATTATCCAGCCTCACGTTCCCCGCAGACAGCGGCGCGTGGGAGCCAGCTGCGGGCGCGGGCGTTCCTGTCGCCCTCAGCTTCTGCCCGCCCTCCCGGCTCCTGCCCTCCCCCGTCCTTTCTTTCACCCCAGCCCCAAAGAGAGCCCTGGACGCCTGCCTGTCTGTTTGGGACTGCTGCACTGAAATCCTGAAACACTATGCTCGCTTTTTAACTCTCGGGCCCAAGACCTTTGAGCTTCCAGAGGCTCATTCTTAAAAGGGTTCATTTCTCGGGGGAGGGTGACCTCTTTTGTAATTTTTAAAGGTTCCTCCTCCTTTGACTTTGCAGCTGTTAGAGAGAGCAACAAGATGCCCTAAGGGTTTGAGGGGAAAGCAGGTTAGGGATGGGAATGAGATGGGGAGAAAGGTCCAAGAGAGAACACTAACTGTGGCTGCTAGGTGTTTGGGTCCAGCCATCCCCCAACCCCCAGAGCAAAGAGGACTGCTTTTATCAGACTTGGTTTTATTTGCTGAGCAACAAACATTGTGGGGCAGTGGTCTCCAGAGAACTGGATAGACAGGAAAACGAGGGGAGGTACTCTCCAAATGAAGCAGATTCACACTCATTCTCTCTTGTTCACTCCCTTGTATTTTTCAACTCTCTTTGTATGTTCCCAGCTTTTCTACTCTCTCCATCTCCCTCTCCACAGAGCATATGGGAAGAAAAATGCTGAACTCAAATATGAACCTTAATATGTATCCAAATGGACACAACTCTCAGTGAGTATTTAAAGAAGCAAAGGCTTTGAGTTCTATGAGGCAGGGTGCCTCACTTGACAGAGGGGGTGGGGGAAAGCATTTTTGTTTCTGCACAAAATTATGAAACCTATGGAAGAATACTATTGCATCGCCCTCTGGGTAGGATGCAAGGGAGGTGTTCTTTCTCCTAGATTTGTGAGAAAAAGGATTTTGCTCTGAACAAAAGAGAAAGGGCACAGATGAGAGAATGGGTTCAAACAAATAAACAAGCCCCTCACTTCTTTTAAGAGTTTTCCAATCAGTTGCCCCTTTAGGAAAGTTTTACTAAAAACCTAATAAATTACCTTTCCATTTATTTGGATGTCATGAAATAAACATATGATTTCATAAACATATGAAATAAACATAGATAAGAAGTACCTAGGAATAGTCATGAATATGAAAATCACCAGAACATCTATATCACAAGGGTAGTCAGGTACAACTCTCTCTCTCTCTAATGGGAAACAGTTTTGATTTCTTTTTCTGTTGTAACAAGAGAACCATCTAAGAGTTCACATGATAGCAAGAGCATGTTTTCCATCCCAGGTTTTCCTCAAGAGCTATCCAAGACTGGCTCTCCCTTAATGTTGAGGCATTTGTTACGACTTTTTTATGTTACTGCTGATGAAGGGATGAAGAAATTAAAACAGAGGATGCTTCCAGGCATTTAGGAAGAGGCTTGACCAGCTATATTAACTCCTTATTACCCTAAAAATAGTCTGCCATTTCCTGCTGATGCCTGTTCCCTGCCACTCCAGGGCTGCATTTATCCTCCAATGGTCAGGAGGTCCCAGTTTCCAAGGACTGGCTTGATTAAAGCTGACTTCAAACACCCTATCCCTTCCCCTTTTGCCTTGCTACATTTCCCAGCAGGACAAATCTGGGAGACTCAGCCTTGGTTTACCCAACAGGCTAAAAATACCAACATCACTATTCATTTTGTTTTAATCTAAGTGTCTAAACATTATTGAGTTATTTTTTTCCTGGACTGAAAGAAAGAAGAATATTTAGGTATTAGGGAGTGGAGTCCTATGCTTAATAAAAGAGGAGGAAGGAAGGAAGGGGAGAAAAGAAAAGAAAAGAAAAGAAAAGAAAAGAAAAGAAAAGAAAAGAAAGGAAAGGAAAGGAAAGGAAAGAAAAAGAAAAAGAAAAAAGAAAAAGAAAAAGAAAAAGGAGGGAGGGAGGGGGCGGGTGCCTGGGTGGCTCAGTTGGTTGAGTATCCGACTTCGGCTCAGGTCATGATCTCGCGGTCCGTGAGTTCGAGCTCCGTGTCCAGCTCTGTGCTGACAGCTGAGAGCCTGGAGCCCGTTTTGGATTCTGTGTCTCCTTCTCTCTCTGACCCTCCCCCATTCATGCTCTGTCTCTCTCTGTCAAAAATAAACTTTAAAAAAAAAAAGGAAGGAAGAAAAGAAAAAGAGAACAGACAGACTTCTGTATACAGGGATGGTAGAAACGTGTTGTTTCCCCCCTTGAATCCACTGTATGCCCAACATATTGGCTCCCTCTGTTAGGAAAGCTTTGGATGCTCTCACAGTCTGGGAATGGGACAGAGAGAGGCAAAATGTGTTGAATTTGAGGACCTGATTGGCTTTGCTTTCATAACCTGGAATCCAGGTTTGAAAAGATTCCCCTAGAGCAGGGGCCTCTAGTCTAGAATATGCTTAATTAATATTCTCCAAATTGGACACTCTACAAAAAGTCTGCGAAGCTCCCAGTGGGCATCACTGGCCTAGTAAGGCCAGTGACATCCGTGTTGGAGTTTCTTAGCTACCTGTTCTTGGGACCCTGAACTGGAGAGATGAGGGAGATGTTTCCAGACTTTAGTGAGCCTCCTTCTGCATGTGGAGTTTTGGGGATCCTGAGAGGGTTTGGGTGGGCCTGGGAGGGTAGGGTGCTAATATGGGCATTATGTTTTATAACTAAAGGAAATAATGCCATAGTCTCAGTGCTTCCTTGCCTAGTCTGATACTTTTGCCTGCCCCTGAACATACCATCACTGACTTGGGCTAAGAAAGGGAAAGAGGCAGCTCTCTTGTTCCACTCCCAAGCTTCCCCAGGTGTATGTGTTGGGGGAGGGGAAAAAAGTGCCTGGGTTTCCAGGACATCAAGCACCCTTTCCCTACACAAGTACACAAACAGAAGTTTACATTGAATGAAGGAAAGACTAGCAGGAATTTTTTCCACCAAGGTCTCCTCTTGAGAAGGAGGTTCTTAGCATGGCTATGTAAATCAATACCGAGTTATTTCTTTGAATTCAAAGGCTATTTGTTGAGGTCTAATTTCCTTAGAATTAACGTGATAACTGAGCCCAACTTAGCAACCAGACCCAACCAAGGGCCTGCCCTGGGTTGAATGCACTTCTCCAGGGTGCAGAGGCTGCAAACCCTCGTCAGCACCCAAAGGGAGTGTGCTAGCATCCCTCTACAGTTAAAACAGGGGATTCTCTGTCCCAAAGATCCCATTCCTCCCACCCGTGGCCTTGGGCTCGACCCACGCGGTCTTATATTGACAATCGTTATTTTTTTTCTAAATAACGTTGACAGCTGGGATATAAGTCCCCAAACCTCAACACCTTAAAAAGCAAAAAAAGCAATATAGGCCTCAAAGTCTGCCTTCTGTAACTTCTTAGTGAATATGACCCTCGCCTACTGCAGGATCTAAAAGAGCCTTTGGCCTCCTACTCCGACTGCCGGCTTCACTTCTATTTTGAATGATAAAGACTGAGCGGGGCTCGCCTGCCGTCCTCCTCCCACCCCCACGAACTGGCCAGGGTTCCCCGGCGGGCAAGACAAAGAAGTAGGAGCCAGCGCCCGGCGGGCGGCCTGCCGAGCGCTGGGGCCTGGAGGCCCTGAGACGTGCGCCTTTGCTGCGAGGCCCTGAAGAATCCAAGAGTTCGTGCCTCTCAGAAGGGCCGGAGGTGCGCGTTGGACTGGAACAAACGAGGGCTGACTTGCCTAGGCGCATTACCACCGCCCACGACGCGCGAAGGACTCGGCAGCCGAGATGCCGGGTTCGGTCGGAGAGAAGCGACCGCAGGGAGCGGCCCCTTCGGCAGACAGCCACTGCGCAGCGAACTCCTCCAGCCTAGGCTGCTGGTGGCAGAGGCCACACGTGGCGGCCACTCGCTGAGCGCCACCTTGGCGCACTGTGTGGGGCCAGACTAGCTCTCTGGCTAGCTGTTCCCGGAGTGCCCGCAAAGCCGGAAGCTCAAGCAGTGTAGCATTCAATCCCGTACAGTCGCACCGAGACCTCGACCCAGGCGGAGAGACCCATCGCTCGCTCCGCTCTCCAGCCCTTGACTGGGCTCAATGTGGTTCTCAGCAGGACCTTTACCACTGGCAACAACTGCTACTTCGGTGTAACTGCACACTTGCTCCTCTGGAACACAGTGCTGTGGTTTTATCCTCTAATGGGGGTGGGATGAGAGCCCTGCAGCTTCAACCCGGACAATTCTAGCTCTCCAAGCTTCCTCAGGAATTAACAAGCGGGGGAAACCCTTTGAATAGAGGCTGCTGAGCCCTGGATCTGGTGTTCAGTGCGGGGACCTTCTCGGGGCCCGCCACGACCCGACCCGTTCCGGGTGCGGCCAGAGTTGGGGAAGCCAGCGAGGAAATAGGTGCACCTGCGAGCATAAAGAGAAACATAGACATGCACGGGGTTGTGGGGGGGGGGGGGGGTATGGGGGGAAGAAACGCCTTCACCGTGTTAACAGCAAGCTGCAGGGTATAAAGCAATAAAATTGCCACGTCTACCTGCTGGCTTTGAGGACATCACAAACAAGCCCGGCGCGAAGCCCGGGTGCACAGAGAGCCCTCCAGGGAAGGGGGGGAACCTATTCTTTTTCTGACCTCCCGTTTGCTCCCCCCATATACACACCCTACACACATCTCCCCCTTCCCTGGCCCACCTTTCATTTTCCTGGAAGGTTTTTTTGTTGTTGTTTTAATTCACTGCCGATTTGTAAACGCGTGGATCGGGTTACTGGTTCGCGTGTTAAAGTGCACCTCTTGTTAAAAGAAGGGGAACAAGGCAATCCACTTAAAAATGAATTCAGAGTTACTGAACCGGCTCCCGAGCCTCAAGAAGTTAAGCGCGGCGGGCTGGGGAAGGGAGGGGAGAGGAGAGTAAATGCTGCTGTCCTGAGAACCCTGGAGAAAGCCCACGGGCAGCGAACTTCAGGTTATGTGATAAAATGGAGGAAGGAAGGAAAGAAAAAGGCAAACTAGCCTGGCGACTCCTGGAGACCCCGGGCAGGGCGCTGGGTAAATCAATTAGCATAAGCCGATGCTGCAGAGGTGCGCACAGTATGTCAATACAGTCCAAGCTGCTACTGCTGCAGCCACCTTTCCAGGAGTTACCGGGGCGAGCGGTACCGCTAAATTGTCAATTTCTCGGGTTCCTTAGGGGTCCAAGCCAATAGGGTGCAAAGAAGTCCCCAGGCGTCTTCCCAAAGACGCAGACTCGTTCCTACACATGTTGAGCTGGAGATGTTAGATTGTACACTTCTCCGTGTGGTCAAAGGCTCGCTGGCTGGGTCTAGTCGCAGATTGAACGCTGGCGCCGAGCCCATGGGGTCTGCATGTCTTGCCCACCCAGTCCCGATCCACTGACAATGCAGACTTCCTTCGCCTCCCCGCAGTTCCGGGACCCGACTCCTGGAGCTGCCCGGCCTGCCCTCCTCAGCGCCTGGTCCCCAGTCCGGCTCTCCTACCTGGTGGCCAGGCCTGAGCCTCGCTCCGGGATTCCGCTGTCTCTCCTCAGCTGCCTGGATCTGAGTAGGTCTGGAGACTAGACGGAGAAAGGCTAGATCCACAGCCCTGGGCTGCTCCGAACTTAATGTCTTTCCCCAGTCCATCTTTGAAAGAGAAGTGGTTCTACCACCTGGATGTGCGGATATAAATCCCCTTGCAAATAATAAATGGATTAATAATAACAAGGTATGAAGTTCTTTTTATAGAAAAAAAGGAGAGAATTGAAACTAAATGCGGCAGTTAGACAACCATTTTGATAAGAGGATAATTGAGGCGACACTGGTGTATAATTAGAGGATAATTTATGCTATATCCACTTTTATTCCACCTCCCAAAATAAACCCAGTCCATAATCATTACAGGCAAATTGTTCTGAATTTTATAGCAGCAATTTGAACAAAGTACTGCAGTTAATCATGGGAGATTTTTGTGTATTCCTGATTAGAACTCTAATTGCCTCCTTCCAGAAAGTAAAAATAACTGTAAAACGACTCTATTTTTATCATTAACAATGTTGACAATAAAATAAAATCAATTGGAATTGTAATCGAGAGACAAATTTAGGACGAAGGCACTTTTACTTGGGTAGTTTATATTGTAATCAAGATTTGCCAAACCACTAACCGCATGTATCATTTGCATATATTTGAAAGCATTACAGTAGCTTCTGTTTTCAATAGGAAAAAATGCATTACTGTCAGTCCTCCAACGATTCGCTTTCAGAACAGACTGCGCGTTCTGGGGGGGGGGGGAAGTTCCCCCTTTCTTGTTCAATACATAGGAACTACGGCCTGAAACGGCAGGAACCTCGCCAAAACAGGGTCTGATTTTTCTTCTTCTTTACACTCCCTCCCCCCGAACCAAGGTGTGGTGCCCAGGTGTGGGGGTCTTCTTTCCTCTGTGGTTTCAATAAAGTACGTCTAGAAGAATACACGGTGACGGGGCGCTCCCCCGGGACTATAGTGGGACTGGGGAGGGGGGTGTGGAGAGGGGGTCAAGGGAGGGGACCTTGCTTTAAATGGAGAGGGCACTGCTTCTGAGAACAGGCAGCCTGCTGGGGTGCAAGGGGACTGAGAGGGAGCGGCTTCCAGCCAGGCTGTTCCAGGTCTGCGGTACGGGGAACTGAGGCTCCGGGTTTGGGGGCGCGAGCTGCGCCCGGGAGGCGTCGGCGGCCGGCCGGCCGAGGCACCTCCCTCCCCGGCAGCACTGAGCGCGGAGCCGCGCGGCCCCCGGCTGCAGCTCCGGGCTGGGATTGGAGTTGCCGAAGGTAGGCGAAGAACTCGGCGAGCGGCGCACACACCAGTAGAAGCCGTGCGTCTGTGACGTCAGGGGGCGACTGACCAATGGGGAGGCGCTGCCCTTTGGAGACAAACCATTCGACTCGTGGCGTCTGCATCAAGTCTGAAAGCAGACGCGCAACTTTCGCAGAATCCACCTTAAAATCTCTGCCTTAAACTGCACCAGCCCCCAAAAAATCCAAGGGGGGAAAGAAGGGGGGGAGAGCAGATTCCCCCCTCCCCCCTCTCCTCTCCCATCCCTCCCCCTTCCTCCTCCCTTTGAGTTAACAAGGCCCTGCTCACTATATCTCTTTATATTAAAAAATATATATATTAGAGAAGAGCGAGGGAGAGGGAGAACCACCTCCACCCCCTCTTTTTTTTTTTTAATTTTTTATTTATTTATTTATTTTTTTGCAAGAATCCCAAGAGCTAAGGTGGCTGCAGAGGGGAGAGCGGCGCGAGCCAAGTGGGGGGAGGGTGGAGGAAACCCGGGAGAAGGCTTTCTCCAGCCCCCAAAGTTTTGATGATGACCATGACTACGATGGCTGACGGCTTGGAAGGCCAGGACTCGTCCAAATCCGCCTTCATGGAGTTCGGGCAACAACAGCAGCAGCAACAGCAGCAGCAGCAGCAGCAGCAGCAGCAGCAACAGCAGCCGCCGCCGCCGCCGCCGCCACAGCCGCACTCGCAGCAGAGCTCCCCGGCCATGGCAGGCGCGCACTACCCTCTGCACTGCCTGCACTCGGCGGCGGCGGCGGCGGCGGCGGCCGGCTCGCACCACCACCACCACCAGCACCACCACCACGGCTCGCCCTACGCGTCGGGCGGCGGCAACTCCTACAACCACCGCTCGCTCGCCGCCTACCCCTACATGAGCCACTCGCAGCACAGCCCTTACCTCCAGTCCTACCACAACAGCAGCGCGGCCGCCCAGACGCGAGGGGACGACACAGGTGAGAGGCCGCTGGGGCAGCTCTCTTCTCCCGCCTCCCGCCTCCCGGCTGCCCCCCACCCCGCCCGCCCCGCTCACTTCCTCAACGCCCGGGCCTCCGCCGGCCCCCTCCCCCAGGCGGCCCGGCGCGCCCCCGGCCAGGCCTCGTGCGCGCCCGCTCGCCTGGCGCCTGCCTGCCGGCCTCGCCCAGCCCGGCCCCTTCTCGCCGCCGCGGACCCTCGGCTTCCTTGCGGCGCGGCCCGCCTGGCTCCCTGGTCTCCGGTGCGCCTCTCGAGCCGCGCCTCCGGCTCCGCGCTGGCTTCGCTCTACGAGTTGGTCCGCACTGAGCGCTCCAGCTCGCTGGGTCTGTGCGCCCTTTGCCTCCCTCCTCCCCTCCGGTCTGTGACCGGCGTTTGGCAAGACTGGGGACATTTCTGAGCCGGAACTGGGGAGCGTGTTTTGCTCCCCAACCCGATCTGGACAGCCAGTGGCCTACTTTGCGGGTGGCGCCCGGTGAGCTTCGGTGACCCGAAGGGAAGCTGACGCTGCCTCTAGCTCTAGTTAAACTGGTGACAATTGGGCTCTTTCCGGCGGGCTTTTAGATGTCCTCCACCCCCCACCCTTGCCCAGGCCCCCCTCCCTCTGGGTTTTCGATACAACGTTGGCTGCTCCTTTGTTCCGAGAGGTGAAGCAGAGGGCCTCGGGCGGACGGTGCTCAGCCCCCCGAGGGGTTCAAAGTTGCCGTGCGATGCTCAGCCCGCTGGGGAGCTGGTCAGAGCGGCTGGTTGTGTTTTGTTTGGGGATTCGATTCGGTCCCTCTCAGCAGAATAATGTCGGACTCGACGAGGGTCTTGATGCACCGGGCTCGGAGCTAGTGACATCAAGTCAACTGGCCGCATAAACATCAGGGTGGCTCAAGCACAGCTTAAGGCACTGTAACGCCAGGCCGAGGGCCCCCGCTTCGTGGCGAGAGCAGCCGCCCCGCAGCGCCGCGCGCCCTAGAGAGCGGTCGGCGCCGCCTCCGCTGCGGCAGAGCGAGGCTGTTTGCCCCAGGGTCGAGAGCGCTCCCGCGGTCCAGCCCCCCCCCCCCCACGTTATTAGGGCCAGAGTCAGGGTCGGCCAGAAGCATTCGCACCCACAGGAAGTACCCGGGCACTGTGAACCCAGAGAGGTCAGGGTGGCGTGGGGACGCTTCGAAGAAATCCTTTTGGGGCTTTGGGAAGACCCGGCGCAGTCCAGGCCAAGCTCAGGAAGGCTGCAGCAGTGGCCTCACGGGTGACTGCTCCTCTGTATTTTTTGCTTGCAGATCAACAAAAAACCACAGTGATTGAAAACGGGGAAATCAGGTTCAATGGAAAAGGGAAAAAGATTCGGAAGCCTCGGACCATTTATTCCAGCCTGCAGCTCCAGGCTTTAAACCACCGCTTTCAGCAAACTCAGTACCTGGCCCTTCCCGAGAGAGCTGAACTGGCAGCTTCCTTAGGACTGACACAAACACAGGTAATTCCCGAGAAGCCCAAGTATCCCTGAAATGCTGATCCTGCTTACAGATCGGGCAGGGAGCACATCAGGAGGAATTCTTGGCCTAGTCAACTGAGGATGGAAAGAGCTTAATGACAAATGCCTTTGCTCCATTACACACTTTCCGGGACAACAGTTTGGAATAAATGACCTGGTATTTAATGCTGGATTGGATTTGCACATCCTCCCAACCCTCGGCGACCCCACCCCAGCCTAGTGTCTTTTGGTGACCAAACTCATAAATTAATCGAGTCCTATTCCAGAGCAGAACGACACGAAAGAGAAAAAACATGTAGGAGAAAAAGATGTTCAGGCCAGGAGGCAGAATGAGAGCTAGGTTTCTTAAGGATCTGTTTGTGTGGTCATGGGACTTAATAAGGATTTCAACTCACTGGCATAGTTATGAAATTGGGGTGAGGGGGAGGACCAGATATGTATAGGCTCCAACAGGATTTACTAAAGGAACCAAAGTGCAAACTATCCATCCTAGGATAGGTGAGGTGGGTTTTTCTGAAGATTGCCCTTAAGCTCAATGGTTAAATCATACTGGGTGACTGACTGGTGCAGGCTGGTGAGGTGCCTTCCTGGAGTACAGGGCTTGCGAGCAATGGCAGAGTTGAAGATCAAAGAGGAATGCTCACCAAATTACAGCAGGTGAAGCCTCAGTTAAGTACAGTTGCTGAAGTTCTCCTGTCCTACTAATTTGAAAGACATATGGGGCATTTTAGACTTCACAGGAAGGGGCTTAAGTAGGTATATTAGGACCCTGGTCATAAAGCCAGGCTGCAATCACCTGTGGTTTTTGTCCTTGTCAATTAACTTAGCTGCATGGGGTGGTAGGCCTCACGTGAGGTGGGTGATCTTCAGCAAGGGGACTCCAGGGTATAGGAGACTCTAGCTGGTGAGTGATTGTGTGCTGCCTTAGAACAGATGTCCCCGAAGCTCTTCTTTTCAATTCGGCCTGCTTTCTCTTGCCATATTGCCACCAAAAATTTTGGGGGTTCCTGCAACTCAGTAACCTGTATTACTCTTGGTAAAGCAGATTCCTATGGCTAAGGAATTTTAAAGGTGAAAGAAGTGGCACCATAGAATTTCCTTCTTCAAACCAAGTAGCTTAGATATGCTTCCATCCCAGATTTCTGATTCACATTTAACTTTCAGGAGTCCTTTGACTTTTAGTGACCGCACTAACAACCATGTGATGATTGTTGACCACAATTTGACTAAACAACATACAAAGTAGGGAACCAGGGAGGTACCATCCCTATTCCCTACAGGATTATGAGGATATATTTACTTCAGGACAAAGATGCTTCATGCACATGCAATATATGCATAGGTATATTCAAAGCATTTGGTTATAAATGTACAGGTTTTTCTCTGTTCACGGTCATTTGCTCACTGTACATGCATAGAACTGTCAGGTTTGGGCATTAGTAAATACGAAACAGACTATCAGAGGAAGTGTGGCTTTAATCTGAAAAGTGCTCTGTTTTAAAAATCCTTCTTTAGACTTTGAACCTGACTATCTCATTCGCCTTCATTCTTATTTTATTCTTATTTATGCTGCTGTTTTAAACCTAGACTTGCATCCCACTGAAGAGCTGAGCACAACAACGTTAGGTATCCAGACAAGATACCTGGTAGAGAGGGGCGGGGTGAGAGAGAGGAGGCTAGAAAGAGGTGGAGGAAGGCGGAGACCTGGTGTTTGCAGTTTCGTTTGTTCTGTTTTTTGGGGGATGGGGGTATTGCTTCCAAAGCCTGGAATAGAGGCACTGGTTCGGTGTTTCGCTGAGCCTAATGATCGCTGCTGCCTTTCGTTCCAGGTGAAGATATGGTTTCAGAACAAACGCTCTAAGTTTAAGAAATTGCTGAAGCAGGGCAGTAACCCGCACGAGAGCGACCCCCTCCCGGGCTCAGCGGCCCTGTCACCGCGCTCGCCGGCGCTGCCTCCAGTGTGGGACGTTTCTGCCTCAGCCAAGGGCGTCAGTATGCCCCCCAACAGCTACATGCCCGGCTATTCGCATTGGTACTCCTCTCCACACCAGGACACGATGCAGAGACCACAGATGATGTGAGTTGTCTGAGGGAAATTGATACCCTAGGGAAACGTCTGAACAAGGCAAGGAGGATCCAGGACCTGCTTGCATCTGCCAAACCCAGCCGAAGGAGCAGGCTCGGGAGAACTCTTCTGTGTGGCAAGACAGTCTGGGCGCTGGCTCGCCCTCTCGCTCTCTCTCCCCCTCTCTCCTCCTTCCCTTCCTTTCCTTCCCTCCTTTTCTTTTTCCCTTTCTTTTTCTCATCTGCTTTTTCCCTTGAGCAGCCTCAGTAACTGATTTTGCATCTTAGAGAGAGAGAGAGAGAGTGAGTGAGAGAGAGAGAAACTGGTTTCTATGCCAGTGCTCCTGAAACTCCTCACTGCAAGGACATTTTCCCTTACCCTTTGGGATCCAGGCTCTGAGCCTCCTCTTCTCTTTGGGAATATCCATCAAAACGACTTTTTTTTAACAGACATTTTCCCCCACCAGAAGAATCTGCGCAAACATGGCAGCGTTTTTACTTGTTTAATGAGCTTAAGACATTACATGATGAAAAAGAAGCATTTCAGGCTCCTGCATTTTTATTTACCAATCCCAGACTGACAAAACAAAACAAAACAAAACAAGAAAAAGAAAAGAGAAAGAAAAGAGAAAGAAAAAAACCTTTACCTAACAGCCCTTCTTTAAAGAAAAAGGAAAAATCGGCTGTAAGATTAGAACATTGCCACAAAGGGAACGCTGCATGTTTTATCAAAATGCAATGAGCAAGAATGATGATTTTTTTTTAAAAAAAACAACAAAACAAAACCACTCTTTCCCCACCCCACCCCAAAACCCTGAACTGGAATCAGGAAAGACAGAGGAAACAACCAAAATCACCATTCTATTGCTTTGATACCTTTACTAGGTGAATTGGTGGCATTCACTAAGCTAATAGGGACGTTTATATTGAGAAACATTTCTGTATATATTGTTGAATTTTAGTTGTACATATACTTTGTATGGTTTTGTCTTCTTTCATATATGGAGTAAAAGCCACAAAACGCTGGGAGTGTCCTGTATATTTCTCTGTGTGTCTCCATCTCACCACCCCCTCCTCGTTCCTCCCAGTATATTTTCTATCACTCTTAAAAGAACTCCTATTTCCTAATATGGGAAGCCCTATATATAAACATCAAGTGCCTGCAAAGATGTCAGTTTGCAGCAGCAGCCTTTTTCTTAAGTACTTTAACATTAAACATGGATGTTTTCTCAGCTTTCTTTATATATTATATTTTTATTACATTTTCTACACATTTATCTATTTTTTAAAACATTAGAATGATCTATCCCCAGGTTAACTTCTAGACATCCAATAGTTTCTAGGGCTGAAACTGAGTGTTCTCCTTTTCCTTTCCTCAGTCAAAATAATACAGCTGTATTTGTCTTTGTTTGGAAGCAATTTTTTTTTAAACAAGAGGAAAGAATACAAGAAAAAACCAAAGTAAATGCACAATTATAACTACTTAATGTTTACACCCTTTGCAAGCTAGCTAGGTAGGAAAATGCATGATCCTGGATGAAATACATCCTTCCGATCTTGTGGAAAGCACAGAAATAATGAAAATGAAAAGCCCTTTCGTCATACAAGCAGGAAGCCCCATACTGCGAGAATTAATGGCTACAGACCTGGGCATCCTTCAAATTATGAACCTTGAAACCACTGAGCCATTTATCAGAAGTCAATAGAGATACTCAGAGTGCTCCATATAATGACAGCGACATACAGTCGTGCAAAAGGACAGTCACTATAATTAGACACAAAGCAAAGACTACTTACCAATATACCCGTTCCTTTTTTTGTTGAGCAACTTCCACGCTCAGTCAGTCTCAGAATGGTTTAAAACCGATCAGTCTTGTCATTTTCTAGCATTCGCATTGTTACATTAGGAAAAATGTTTTCTTTTCTTTTTTCCCCCTTCCTACTGTGAAACTTTGGGTTCGTAGCTCCCCAGGATCAATTCTGAACAAAGCCTCCAGCTGCAGTGCCATCCAATTTGAAGCAGACATTGGGGACAATTTAAGGTTTTTATCCACAAGAAGGTTTTTTTCCATTCTCTTAAATGCAGCCATAATTAGAGTAATTTTTCATGTAGCCCGCTGATTACAGCGTTTTTACCGTCAAAGATAATTACCTGTAATTTTCTTCCACTTTTAATACTAAAAAGCCATCTTTATTTAGATTCAGGAACAGGAAAGGCGAAACAAAAGAGGGAAATTATTCTGTTATTCATACACAAATTGCAGAGACGTAGGACCTAAAATTGAAAATTAACCAAAATTATAATGCTGAAAAGAATGGAAGAGGCTGCAGAAGTACAGCTGGTAGTGGGGCTTTGCTGAATTATTCAAATTACGTTAGAGAAAAAGCTACCATACATCGAAACCAACACTAATTTTTCTTAAAAAAAAAAAAATCTACCAGACGCATGCCAAACCACTGTGAGTGCATGGAATTCTGAAACCTAGCAAATGCATTTTAACACGTTGAAGGTGTTGTCATGATGCGCCTGTAACAACCTCTCTATCTCTTAACATGAGTTTAATTATACAAGAAATTCTGCAAAGAGGTCCTCCCAAGAACTGTCCTTGGAACTGGGCTTCCTCTGGGTCCTTTGAACATGAAGGGTTAATATTTTCGCTCTTAGTAAGTGTTGACCCCATAGTAAACCGATGAGAGAGAGAGAGAGAGAGAGAGAGAGAGAGAGAGAGAGAGAGAGAAATTGGTGGGAGGGGCGTGGTGGGTAAAAGGCATCGCCCCGTCGCGGCGCCTACTACGCCTCCCCACGCTCAAACTTCCGCGGAGTTGGTGTTCTAGAGCCTCGTTCTGACCATATTTTCCAGGTAAAAAAAGAACGAGAGAACAATAGCTGCGGGGGTGCGGGTGAAGGGGGAAATGTCTCCCCGGCGCCAATAAGCATCTCATTATCTTTTGACACAATTTAGCCCAAAGGTCCCCGCCGCCGGAGAAAGGCCTTTCTGTACAGGGGTGAGGGAAACGAAGACGTCTCAGGCTCCTGCACTTAACATCTGTAGCTGCTTCCAAATCTCTACTGGGTCAGGAAACAGCGTCATCTATAGATAGAACAGCACCGCTTCTGGTTAGAGTCTTCCTTGGTGCGTTCCTAAATCGGACTGGTTCCTTAGCTCCAAGCTCGGTTCTGCGTCTCAGCCAATCGTGCCCCTCCAACCCCAAGGTCGCAGCGTTTGGGCCCCGCAGGCAATAGCTGTAAGAACCGCATCCCGCCCCTCCCCCTCTCCTCCCCCCCTTCCTCCATCAGCTTGAGGCAAAGGCCTTGCAAAGCAGCCCTGAAGGGTTTCAGAGGCCAGTTATTCCGGAAACTTTCTCCCAAGTGGAGGAAAATGTCGAGGGGGCTATACAGTCTAGAGATTCAGACTACACCTGCCGTTGCTAATGTCTGCATATCTGTGATACCAAAGGAGCATTGTGGCGAGCTCCCTTTGCTCTCCCGACGCTCCAAAACTGAAAATCATCGTCAAATGTAAAGACCTTAAATTCGCGTATGACTAGCTTTGAATAACAATTTTCAAATAGATCTTAGCTCAGAATCTCCAGTCGGCTCCCTCCACACCTTATAGAAACCTGGTCTCTTTCTCAGTCTCCAGTCACAAGCTGCACCAAATACATCAACAGCACAGAAAGAAAAAAAGACACAAGAGTTCTTAAGGATCCCATTCTCACCCGAATCCTTTTACTCACCAGAACGACAACACTTTTACTGTTAAAGGGGGAAAAAAGATCGGAATTGAAAAATCTAATAAAGCAAAGTTGCAGTCTAAAATAAATCACAACAGCAATACATATAGCTTGGAAAGTGTGAGAACAGAAATATGAACTGTGCCTTGAAGTATGGAAGAAATAAAAACTTACCAACAGTGAATATCTCTTAAGCAATGATCGGGGTCTAGAAATCTATACTGAACAGAAGCAGAGGAGAATATTTGTCTGAGTCTCAGGGCAGAAGCTCTTTCTCTATATTCTTGGTTGAGTGAGCACATCCAGGTGTGAAATTGTTTGCACACCCCAGCACCTCTTATATTGCCAGCAAAATTAGCTGTTATTACTGTCACTGTTTAGTGATGGTTAGCGTGATACAAAAAAAAAAAAAAAAAAAAAACTGCTGTAATCAAGACCTGGCGCATCTTTGCAAATTACAGATAATTGTAAACGTCCAGATTATGATAATAGCATCCTAATCCAGCCTGCAATATAATTATTACAGAGTGTTACATCTGAAACTGTCCAGTAGGGCTAATTCAGCCATTATTTAGACCCTATTTTTGCACTGCAAATGGGTTGCTGAGTTGAAAATGTACGATTGTAATTTCACAGGGCACTCAATGAGTAATGGTATAGGAAGAGGAAAATACAAAAGTGAAATGTGAACAGTAGCGATCAAATCAAACCCTGAAGGACAAAAGACTGTTTGATTCATATGGAAAAAGAAGAGCGGGAATTAAGAAAATAGCAAATCTGTGGTCTGAAGCATTACGTGTACAAATCTTCAATATGTGTAGGGCTGATGTGTTTGCAAGGGTTGCTGTATGTGCTTCTGCTGGAGTCTGAAATTATTTCTTTCTTTCTTTCTTTCTTTCTTTCTTTCTTTCTTTCTTAGCCTCCTGTCTTTCCCCCCTCTCTGCTAAAGCATTTCCTTGCTTAAAAAAGAAAAGTGCTCTTCTCCTAAGCAAAGAATATTTGTCAGTTTCACCATTGTTTCCACCAATGCTGCCTCAGAGTGTGCCTGTCACTTGTTTATGAACATTTGCTTAAATGAATTTGCAATCTCTCTTGTCGTCAGAGCAAAATGCCCTGGGTGCTTGTAAGTGTTCCTGAGCTCCATCTCCATTCTCTTTCACTGTGAACAAGTCACTGAGAGGCCTAAAGGATATTAGCAGAAACCGTATTAATTGCTGCTAATTAAATAAAGCCGGCTGGGAAGCTGTCTCCTCTATTTGGCTAGGCTGGCTATCGGCTTTAATCCTATCATTAACTTTTATTAATTACCCCCCTCCCCCCGTATAAACTAGTCCAGCTGCTTCTATTGCTATATGTCACTGATATGTTTCTTTCTGCATTCCAGTAAGTCCAGTATTTTTGATAAAGGACTATTCTTGCTCCCAGACATGGTTGTAAAAGAGCAAGGTCAGTCTCCTTAAAACACGGAAGGACTCAAGAGAGGGAGTATGAAACATAGAGCAAAAGAGTACGGAGAGAGACTGTGGTACTCTGCTGGTCCAGAGTGAAAGAGAACCCAGGGTTCTAGCTGGCTTCCGGGAGGGTGAGCCCTCCTTGGTTGAAACTTCTGGAGTGTAGTTCTGGTTCTTGGTGGGGATGTCCTGGTCAGGACCCTTATATCTCCAAGACCTCAGTTTTCTCACCAGGAGTGCAGAGAATTTCCTGAGCCTCTCTTCCAGCCTCTATAACAGTATATGATGATTCTCCCTCCTCCTACCACCTCACAGCCCTAGCAGCTGCCCAACCAGAGCCACCCTCCAGTGGCAAGCAGACTTCCTAGCTCCTATGAATCTAAGGGCAAAAATGAAATGTTCCTTGTTTAGTGACCCCTGTTTATAGATGAAAGCTGAGTCCATATTCTGCCTCTTCGCCTACCCCTAATATCCCACCTTGCAAATGGCAAGTGGCCAAAACAGTCCTTGGATGACAATAAGCTTCCAGTGGCAGATTTCTGTCTTCTCACCTTTGCAAGCAAAAAAAAAAAAAAAAAAAAAAAAATAGCTTGGGAACTGTTTATAGCCCTTCACCCCCACTCACTTCTTTAAAAAATACATTAGACTGTGAATTGTGGAGATAGAATCATTACTGAAACTTGGAGTGTGTGTGTGTGTGTGTGTGTGTGTGTGTGTAGTGATGTTATGAAACCATTTTTCCCCCTTCCTGTGGGAAAGGTCGTAATGTGTGGTATTTCACGGTTTTATATAAATCTTGGTTTAGGATGTGGAACAGACTCAATAATATATGCACTTTTGGCAGAGACTCCTTCGGACCCCCACAAATCAGAAGTAAATAAGAAGTCCCAGCGAACAAAAGAACAGAAACATTAATCGCTGCAAAACAAAATTCTTACATCCTTTAAAGACAGATTCATGTAAATTCCCCCGGTTCCTATCTTCAGTGTTAGAGCGCGACCTATAAAACAGGTTATTACATTTCAGCTGGCAACCCTGGATGATTGAAAGGGAAGCTTCTCCCCCCCCCACCCCCGCCCCTCCTTAGTAGATACACTGTATACTTTCTGCCCCTTACCACAGGGGAACCTAAAGCTTGTCAAATGCAAAAGAAAACGCAGATGGGGCGGGGTGGGGGGGCGGCAGGGCTGCGTAGAAAAATATTTAGCCAATCCCACATGCGCTACCGCTATTTGGGCTGTTTTCGAGGCCCAGAGTTCGCTGTGCCTCTGAAAAAAACCAAGTACAGTATGCAAGGACCGCAGGCAACTTCGGAACAAGAGTGGAGGGCGGGAGCGAGTAGCAGCGCCCCCTCCCCACCCTCACCCGAGGCGGAAGCCTCCACCCAGCCGCTGTGGGAGGGGGGTGCTTTAGGCTGGAGGAGAGGGGTGACCGCAGGCGGATCCGCCGTCGTGGCGCGCTTCCCAGAGGTGCCGGAGGGCGTCTGCCCTCAGGGCGTGCCTCTGGAGAGGACTAGAGAGCTCCGGGTTGGCGAGATCCCAGTGGCCAGTGGGAGGCGCGCGATCCAAGGGGTTGCGGGGACGAGGCGGGGAGGGTGCTGGTTGGGTAGCCCTAAAGGTCCTCTCCTCGAATAAAAGGAAGGACTGATGGAGGGCGGGGGGTCAGGGGCAATGTTCCAGGAGGCATCCCTTGCACTTCGGGCGGGGGAGATCAGGAGACCCAATGGTATCAAGGCCGGAGTAAACTGTTGGGCGCGCCGGGAGGAGGCGAGCACCGCCAGGCCTTGGCGCGCCGTGGGCGACTCCCAGGACTGCGCGGCCAGGACGCCGCGAGCCGTGGGGCATCCAGTGGGATCAAAGGAGCCAACGGAGGCCAGCCGGCGCGTCTGGGATTGTGGGATGAGGGGCGGGAGAGAAAGGATTGGCATGGGCGGGGAGATCCTGGCCTGGCTATGGTCCCCAGGAGGGGGTGTGTGCGTGTGTTTGGTGTGCGGGTCAACATGCTCTTGCCGGAGGCCGAGACCTGGGTGGATCTGAGTGTGGGTCGACAGGCTCCCGGCTGGGTGCCCCAAGAAGGAGGGAGGAAGAAGGAGATGGAGAGGGGGAGGGACAGAGAGAGAGAGAGAGAGAGATCAAGGGCAGCGAGGTCTGCGGGTTCCTCTGTGTGTGTGTCTCAGGCCCTGTGGCTCAGCACTGGAGCCGCCTGGCACCCACAGGAATGCGGCTTCTCTCGGCTCCCCAAGCCGCCCCCTGTTCCACAAGGAGGTGGCCGCCAGGAAAAAGGGGGGAAAAAGGGCAGAAATCCGCGTAAGAGCTTCAAACAAAGACCAATTTATCTGATCTTTT